TATATATATATATATATATATATATATATATATATATATATATGTAAATGCCTATTTATATATATATATATATATATATATATATATATATATATATATATATATATATATATATATATATATATGTGAATGTAGGCCTATATGTATACATATATTTATAAAATTTGTATATATTATAGTGTACCAAAAAAGAGGGCAGTAAGAAAAGACAACACAGACTTGGCTATTTGTCTGCTGAGTCTGATAATGTCAGGACTTGTAAGATTTCTGAAACCTCAAAACGTCCCTGACGTCCCTTATACTGGCGGTCAGTGATTTCGTCAGTGGACATTCTCGTCCACCGCCCTTTCGCCAGCAAACAATACCCCACACGACGACAACAAATCAATGCGAGGGGAATTCAAGTTATTTTTAATTTACTGATAAAACATCTTAGACTTACCGCAAATGTTATAGGTGGTTTAAATAGAATTTCAATATGATAATTATTTATTCAAATAAAACCACTTTATTTTAATTCCCGTTATTTATTTAATAGTAATTGAAACTTTATTTATGGAATTTAGCAGGTGCGTATCGTGGGGGTATCGGGGGGGGGGGGGGGGGGGTGCGGACCGCACCGGGTGACACCATTTAGGGGGGTGACACCAAGGTAAAAAAAAGCAAAATTTTAAAGAAAAAAACTTGAGGGGGGTGCAAATCGAGAGTTTGAGGGGGGGGGGTGCAATTCGAAAACTTGAGGGGGGGGGTGCAAATAAAAAACTTGAAAGTTTGTCCCCGGGAAGGGTCGCTACGCCTCTGGGGGGTGACACAATTAAGTGCCGCACCGGGTGACACCCGACCTCGCTACGCCACTGGAATTTAGTTTTATTTAAAGTGTGGAAATTCACCAAAATTTGTGTTTTAGATTCTCCCCGATTTTCTTCAGTCGTGTGTCTAAATATTTTAAAACAAAGTTGAAAAAATGTGCCTAATTTCGCAACGTTTTAAACCGGATTGATTAAATCTAATTTAATGACTCAACCGTCACTCATTGAGACTGTAATTAAATCTGACCCATTCCGCAGTAATTTAATTAATTTTATCCTTTACTTTTTAACGAACAGGTATTTTTTGGTATTAGAGGTATACCTTTATCGCTGGGATTTCCGAGACATTTATTTCTGTAGCTTTAGTACAAAGCGCTCTGGGATTTGATAGATAGAGGTTCTCAAAATATCAGGACAGGGATTTGTTAGAACAGGGGTTTTAAAAACCGTGGAGACATAAATTTGTACACACGACCTGGGTTTTTAACAATGTGGAGACATGAAGTTGTAGAGCCTGGTACTCAAAAATTGTGGGGACAAGGAAGAAGTTTTGTGGTTACACCTGCTTTAATGAAGCAGGTGATGTAGAGTTCATCTGTTTCTGGTATGCACAGGTGAACAAGTTCATCTGATTTCACATCATCCACTGAAAGTCATTGTGCGACAAACACATTTTTTGTAATATCCCTGAATAAAGGCAGGTTTTCGAGAGAGATGAGAGGACATTTCACAGGTAGTAATGATCTACTCCCTGTCGAGAACTTGGCCATACCCTTATAAAAGATAGTGTAACATTGACTTAACAGACCGTTGGTCTCAACTGGTAGATGATACTGAGCTCAATAGATCTGAACCAAATGTGTCACTCAATATATAATAATAATAATAAATAAATTTATATATATATATATATATATATATATATATATATATATATATATATATATATATATATATAATGTAGGCACACATATATTTTTATTTCTATATATGTATATGTATATATATATATGTATATATATACATATATATATATATATATATATATATATATATATATATATATATATAGTGAAAAATTATGAAGTTGGGAGAGGCTTAAATAGAAAGTTTGTGAACCGCTGACACAATTGACAACTAACTGCCAACAACTGACAGACCAAATCACGTGCCCACACACCGGCCCTCGTTAATCGTGGCCGAGGGGGCGACTTTTAATTACCAAACCACTGGACCGTGACCGATTTTTAATTTTTCGCGTCATTAACGAGGCGCACGTGTCCGACCTTGATCTTGATTTCTCCCTACAGACTGGGTAAATCCGATCTACCATTAAGCCCACTGGGGTAGGGTCAACTAAATCTCGCGAGAACTGGAGGCGGAGCGCCATTTTTTTTTCTTTACCCGTTTTATCACCAGTGTATCATTTGTCGAGGTAGATAGCGCGTCACAAGTAGCACTAAAGAGTTAGGGCTCGAGTACCATTCTACCACGTCAAGAATCAAAGCTCCTGTGTACTAAAAACTCTAGCATCTTATACACTATACACCACCTCAACCCCCCTCCACCTCCAAAATAAAACATTCAAGTCAGAAAAACTTTTCTGAAGATTTTAACAACGGAAACTTTGAACACAAACAAAAAATAGATGCACCAAGTGAACGGCAAGCAGTAAGTGTAAAATAGTGCGGAATATTAATAGTGCTTTATAAATTCAACCTCGTATTTTGAGAGATCGGAAATAGCGTAAATTACTACTTCCGGTCAACAGAAATTACTCAACATTTGACTGAATGCAGAGAATCAGATCTTGTACTTATGAGTGAAATTTCATTAATGTATCTGAAACAGTACTCAGGTTATAGGCTTTGAATAAGTTTCACATCCGGTTACCGGAAATCGATGAAAAGTTGATACAGAACTACAATTTGATTCAATACTTATATATGAAATTTCATCAACCTAGCTGTAACGGTACTCAAGCTATCGCGTTCTCAGACACACATGCACACACACATACACACACAGACATACGGACAAGATTGCAAAGATATGTTTTTCCGACTCAGAGAGGTGTAAAACTTCGAGATTTCAAAACAAAAAAATCTCGATTTATTTTTTTTGCACGATTACAAGACTTTCTCTATACTTCGTATACGAGAAAGTAAAAAAAGACAACAAAAAACGATTGTTTCATGTTTCAGCGGACACAATTCCAGAACGAATGTCGATATTCCTCTTGTCAAGTAACCCAGCATTCACCCCCCTCTCCCCCATACACAAACTTCCCATAAACAATGCCCGTATGTGACAAACCATTCAAAGACCCATCATTTGAACATGTAAATGCTGAGGATATCACCCCACCCAACTCAACCCACCCCATTTTGCAAAGCTGCATCAGAATATTTGGCCTTGAGGTCCCCCCCCCCCCCTCTCTCCTTTAGCCAACCCGGGTTCAATGGTCCAGGAAGTACAACAAAGCCGGTCATTTGTTAATCTAAGCCCCCCATCCCATTTTGAACATGTATGAAAATGCATCCCCCACCCCACCAAAATATAGCACCACCCCCACATTGAAGCTCTATCAAAATACAGCCCCCACCCCAACAACATACAGCCCCCCCCCCAAATACAGCCCCCCCCCCAAATACAGCACACCCCTCCAAAATACAGCCCACCCCACCAAAATACAACCCACGCCCCAGCAACATACAGCCCTCAGCTCGTTGCTTCATGAATGTAAATAAACCCCCACCCCTCGCCATCAACATTCCACCCCCCACCCCCCACCCCCAACCTTCACTTAAATCAACAGACAACCCCATGCAACAGTATCTGACACAAGGGGACATAACTCATCAAACCCCAGCCGTCACTATACCAACTTGTTTCATCCATTCTCGCCTTCCTACATGAATAAGCGCCGGCCTATGTCAGCCGGGAGCCCACAGGGAGATAGCACTATTAATTGATAAACCGGACTGCCGGCTTTCTGCCGGCTGTCGCCCAGATTGTGCCGAGTATTCAATCAATAACTTAATTATGTCATCCTGCAGTTTTATTATTTTTTTTTCGCTGATCAGGAAAATCTCCACATAACCTGCTCAATGCAGCCATCCTCCCCCCCCCCCACGCACTGCCCCCCCCCCCGCCCACATCCCGGGTCTCGGAGTCCAAGGGCCAGACGACGAGCCCATCCATCATGCACGTCACAGCGACACCTACAATAGGAGCCCCATAATTAGGCTGGCTGACCTTTGAACTACTCGTCCTCTGTAGGCTAAGCTTCCGTCAAGGCGCGCTACCACGTTGAGGAAAATTTGATCAAAGTTTGTATTTGATAGAATTATATGCTGTTTACATGATTCACTTATATGTTTATGTATTAGTTTCATAAGTGTGTTACATAAATTACATACATGGCCGCGTTTTGTACATGACCTAATCTCATTTATCAAATGCGTAATGCCTGCAGAGATTAATCTTTGAATAATACGTAATCCAATCGACACTGACATGATGTAGTGGTATTTTATTATAATATGGGATAGAACGTTGTATTTTCGTTAGGCATATTAGGCCCAGGGGAGGGAAGCACCTAAGTAAACAACACGTGAATGTTTATATCACATGATCAGCCATATATTGAACGGGAATAAAACAAAATTATGCATTCAATGTAAAAAAAAAACAACAACTTTCCGATGAAATGACATAAACTTTACATCACCACCACCACTGACACCATAACTACCATCATCATCACCATAATCATCATCATTATCATTATCATCATAATTATCACAATCACCATCATCATCTTCATCATCACCACCATCATCACTATCATCATCATCATCATCATCACCATTATCATCGTTATCATCACCATCATCATTATCATCATTATCATCATTATCATCACCATCATCATCATCATCATCACTATCTTCATCATCACCACCATCATCACTAACATCATCATCATCATCATCACCATTATCATCGTTATCATCACCATCATCATTATCATCATTATCATCATTATCATCACCATCATCATCATCATCACTATCATCATCATCATCATCACCATCACCATCATCATCACCATCATCATCATTATCATCATTATCATCATCATCATCATCATCATCATCATCATCATCATCATCATCATCATCACCATCATCACCATCATCACCATCATCACCATCATCATCACCAACAACATCATCATCACCACCACCATCATCATCTTAATCGTCATCATAGAGGATTAAGGAAAGCAACCACACCTCTCCATTTGGACAATTCCCCCAAGTTGGGCCCACGACTTGTACCTGACTGACAACTGATCTTTTCCAAGTTTGTTAAAAGCTACCAAATCTGATAGATTATATCCAACTCTGTGTGCGTACAGTTATATTTTCCCATTTCTGTTTTTAGGAATTTTCAATTGCACTATTTGTTTTGCATTGTATATATATATATAACTATATATAACTATATAACTATATATATATATATATATATATATATATATATATATATATATATATATATATATTGGCGCGCGTAATGCAGATGAGCTGATGTAGACATAGACTGGTGAGCAAACCACTCACGCACACATCTTGTCGCTCAAATGACGTCACGTCCCAGTTTGAACTAGCCGGATCAGGGGACAGTTTCCAGACTTGAAGTCCTAAGCCCCGGCAGAAATTGAAGTCTGAGACGGCGCTCTGTGCTGTAACCCTGGAAGTAAACAAAGTTCAATAACGTGGGGACTGTTGACTTTTGCAGAGAGGGGGTGGGGTGTGGGGTGGGGTGTGGGGGTGGGGTTGGGTTTTTTTAAAGATGGAAATTGTGGGGGAGAGATGTGTGAGAGTGATGGTGAGAATGTGTGTGTGTTATAGAAAAACGGAATAGAAAAGTGAGATAAAGAGAGGAAAGAGTGGGAGAGAATGGGAGAGGCGTGAGGTACAGAGGTAGTGAGGTAGTGAGGTACAGAGGTAGAGAGGTAGTGAGGTAGTGAGGTACAGAGGTCGTGAGGTAGAGGGGTAGTGAGGTACAGAGGTCGTGAGGTAGAGAGGTAGTGAGGTACAGAGGTCGTGAGGTACAGAGGTCGTGAGGTAGTACGGGTAGGGAGGTACAGCGGAGAAAGAGGAGAGTGAATTACAGAAAGAATGATACTAGGAGAAGAGGGTGAAGGTATGTCTCCAGCAAGCAACCTTTACAACATATGTATGGAATGTATTAACATTATTACAACATGTAATGTATATATTAACATTTTTACAACATGTTATGAATATATCAACATTTTTACAACTCACGAAATGAATTTCTCAACATTTTTACAACACACGAAATGAATTTCTCAACATTTTTACAACTCACGAAATGAATTTCTCATCATTTTTACAACACACGAAATGAATTTCTCAACATTTTTACAACTCACGAAATGAATTTCTCAACATTTTTACAACACACGAAATGAATTTCTCAACATTTTTACAACTCACGAAATAAATATATCAACATTTTTACAACACACGAAATGAATTTCTCAACATTTTTACAACTCACGAAATAAATATATCAACATTTTTACAACACACGAAATGAATTTCTCAACATTTTTACAACACACGAAATTAATTTCTCATCATTTTTACAACACACGAAATGAATTTCTCAACATTTTTACAACACACGAAATGAATTTCTCAACATTTTTACAACACACGAAATGAATTTCTCAACATTTTTACAACACACGAAATGAATTTCTCAACATTTTTACAACACACGAAATGAATTTCTCAACATTTTTACAAAACATGAAACAATTTTTTTACATCACATATTATACCTGTTGTTTTCTGTAAGCAATTATTAGCTTTGTTTGAGCTGGCTATACAAAGTCCACATGACCTCATTAAAGTTTGTTAAATTCGTCCATGAAATTTCCACACACAAAAATACCACCTAAACTATAAATAGATTTCGGGAAATCCCGCTGACTTATAAATTGAACAAGAGCACTTCACATACAAACTAGAACATTCGGTCAAAACAAAAACAGGTAATTTAAAATCTCGAACACTCTGTCTAGACACTGCGATCTCTCATCTCCTTGTATAATCCTGTCAGTGGGTTACACAAATAAAATTCAACGACAATTTCTAAGCACGTCTCAAATCACAGGAGAATCAAACCTTTCACCCCACTAGCACAGGCAACCCCAGACAAACCCCGACCACACATGACAATAACTACTACCACACTCCCATATCTATCGCTTAATTACCTCCCCCCCCCACACCCTACACACACAACCCACAACAATCACTACTTGCAAACATCCACCCCCCCCCCTTCCTACAACATTCGACAATTCACAACAATCACTAAAACCAGACTCCTTTATCCACCTATAACAACCCCCAACAACCCTCGAAAAACACAGACAACCCCTACTACAGAAACCTCAAAAACAATTCAGGCCCCCCCTCCCCCAAAACCCCAGACACCCCTAGCAACCCCAGACACACATAGCAACCCCCGAAAAACACTGACAACCCCTACTACAGAAACCTACAAAAATACACGACCCCCCCCCCCCCCCAACCACAGACAACCCCTAACATCCCCCGAAAAACACCGACAACCCCTACTACAGAAATCTCCAAAAAAATAAATAACGCCCCCCCCCAACCCAGACACCCCTAACACCCCCCCCCCCCCCCCGACAACTGATCTTCCAAGTTTCAATCTCCAAGTCTACTACCCCACAATAGCATTCTCTAGGACCTCCAATCAAACTCACAATGACGCTTTACTTCAACTCCCACGTCTCAATTTCAAAGAGATTAAAACAAGACTTTCTTGGGTGAAAGTAGTTTAAAGTACATTCACTGTTCTCGAAAAATCCACCCCCCCCCCTTCCTTACAATCATTCCCACGAAGAAAAAAACTGAAAACTAAAGATCAATTAGCACGGCGTCAAGTCTGCTAGTGCTGGTTCAAAAACACACGTCAATCTATATATATATATATATATATATATATATATATATATATATATATATATATATATATATATATATATATATATATATATATATATATATATATATATATATATATATATTCTCTTCTTGGAGATCATAGAAAACACCAAGCTGTAAGCGCCCTCCCTACCACCCCACCCCTACATGTTTACAATCGTAGAGCCGGGTTTTGTGACGACTATTAGGGGCAGATAATTTAGTTTGAAACGATTTTCACTTTAGGGGAGGTAACTAAGAGGAGTTTACTTTCACGGGGGGTGGGGTGGGGGTCCAGGGGTGGTAGGGGTTGGGGAAAGGAGGGGGGGTATCGTCCTTAACGAGCTACTGATAGTGTTTTAAAGCAAATATTTTCAGTGGCAGCGTTGGTACTGTCGAATTCACAAATTATGAATTACTGAAAAGTAGAAAATAAAATAACTAGATAGCGGCGTATGATACGCTGCGGGTCGGCTCGTTACATTTTACGTTACACATTAGCACACTTTCGGTCCAAAATACGTTGCAGTTAATTTTATTTTAATATGTTGATCGCAAAAAACAAAACAAAAAAAAACTAGTTTTTCTTGAGGTAGTTATAGTTGTAACAAGTATGGCTAACTTTATTGTTGCTAACGGTAAGTGTTCGTAATAATTTTTTTTCAATCAATCAACTGACTTGTCAATACCTAACAAAATCACAACAAATGCGTTTCGCTATTCTTCAATGGGTTTAAGGGGGCAGTATCACCTAGACTAAGGGAGAGAAACAAAAATATTCACACACAAGTAAAACTATTAGACATAAACATGCCAAATTTTTACAGTGGTAGTAACGTGTCTTCAGCATATAATTTATGGGGTATATTTATCAACAATTTGTCTAAAAATATTTTGTTAATATTGTATTACATTTTAAAAATTTTTTGTAATCAATTTTCCAAACCATAAGTAAAATACATACTTAAAGTTTGGCTTAAAGTGTCCTTCCACATATTTGGTTGCACTATGTAACTTGTTTGGGTATATGACGTGTACTTTAACTTTAAAATCCTCAAATGATAGTACCAACTTCCCACCCCAGGGGTCGGCAACCTTTTGAAGCGGAAGAGCCATAAGTTACAATTTTCAAAATTTCCCTGGTTTTACAGAGCCACTGACATTTTTTTATTTCAAATATTTTATTTTTTTATTAAGATTATTAGTATTTGTGCAAGGAGCGGGAGAGCCGCATCTTGATATCAAAAGAGCCGCATGTGGCTCGCGAGCCGTAGGTTGCCGACCCCTGTCCCACCCCCATTCTCCCCAAAACAGGGGTTTGATATTGTTAGGTCAGAATCCCACAAACATCTATTCACTAGATAATTACAGGGTACACTGTAGGGATGGACAGTAGGTGACACTTTCAAAGAGACTTACCGCTCTGACAGGACAATAGTCGTCTCTATACTGACCAGTAGCCGGTGTTGTTAGCGCCAGGGGGGATAATTAGTTAGGTCACATGTTCTGAGCTCATTGTCCCGTGGGAACAGCTAGGGGGTTAAAACAGGGGTATAAATACAGGCAGGTTAGTTAGTCTCTCTCTCTCTCGCACAAGCGCTCCCGACGTTAGCGGTTAGGGGAAGCCTCGCTCAGCAGAACAGGCATTCAGCACATTAATAAACAGTACAAACTAAGAAAGTCTCCTGTTCCGTTGATTACTTCACTGTAGCTGACTCGGGTAGAATAATTAAATACCCCTAGACAACGACGGCCTTATTGGCTAGTGCCCGAGCCAGTGTCAGCAACGTATTCGCCGGCGACTAAGCAACCATACGGCAACATCGTAGTCCTAGTCCGCAACAGATATTGACAAGGGAAATCATCAGGTTAATACATCAATGTAGAGTTACAAACAGTTGAAAAAGAAATCCAAGAAGGTCATGTCGGCCCTCGGGTACTTGTGTATCACAAGGACATAGACCATTAAAGCCACACCTGATGTAGCTCCAACACTAGGTATTTGCCACATATATACAGCTGTGGTACAGTCACATATGTGACTATAACATAGTTTACCAACACACACCATATGACAACTATGACATCACTAACACAATTATGACCTATTTCACTAACACACCATATATGTCAACTATGACATCACCAACACACCCCAAATGACACTATGACATCAACAACACACCCCAAATGACACTATGACATCACCAACACAATTATGACCTATTTCACCAACACAACATATATGTCAACTATGACATCACCAACACACCCCAAATGACACTATGACATCAACAACACACCCCAAATGACACTATGACATCACTAACACAATTATGACCTATTTCACCAACACACCATATATGTCAACTATGACATCACCAACACACCCCATATGACAACAAAGACATTGCCCCCACACCCCATATGCCAATTATGACATATTTCACCAACACACCCCTATGCACATATGACACAACCGTATATCACCAAACACACTTCCTTATGCAACTATGCGCATACCCACCACATCTAATAATCAACTATGATGCAACCCTAAACCGATTCACATCTGCAACCCGACCATGGCCTAGACCACTAACCCATTGAGTGACTATGACATACAGTACAGTCTACCAACACACGAAGCTATTATTAGTCAAAAAGGTCAACCCCATCAATAATACAGCTCTGACATAATTCAGAATTCATATGCTACTATTAACCGTTCAACTCGGACATAAATCAATTCATATGCCACTATTAACAATTCAACTATGACATGTATACGACTAACTGTAACACAGACCTTGAACTTCCGACATCATTTCCAATTCTACTATGATACAAACAACACATCTCTGGTAGAGAACTGTAGGGTTTGATACAACTCCAACCGTGACTGTCACATAGACGCTACCCCTCCACCACCACCCACCACACCGTTACGACACCCACTTCGCAATTCGACGATTTCTTATCCACTCGACATTTCCGACCCCCGATAATTACCAATCCCGGCATTTCCGACCCCCGATAATTACCAAGCTACCTTCTCTCATCAAAGACCAGACACCCCGGCGCGCGTGGCTTACCGTCTGCACGTGTCGGAAATTATGTGTGCCACGTCACAGTGACGTCACACACAATTACCGCTCATTAAGCCAGTTAATTGAATGTTCGAAGCTCCGGCTAATGTCTGCTTCACTGCGCTGTCTGCTTATTTGTTTGTTTTATGATTACATTGATTTAAATAGCGCGCACTCTAATGAAGTCGTCGTTGTTGCGATTTAGATACAAGGACAGTCTTGGGCTGCTCATATTGCGTAGTGGCAAGATAAAGTCAACACTACTGGCGTAACTACAACAATAAATATCAGGACTCTAAGTTCAAATGTCAAGGTGGTTTTTGTTATATGAAGCAGAGACATGTGGAGACCAACGCAGAGAAGATACAAACCTATCATCGGCCTCTACACATACTAGACTATCATTGGCCTCTACTAGACTATCATTGGCCTCTACTAGACTATCATTGGCCTCTACTAGACTATCATTGGCCTCTACTAGACTATCATTGGCCTCTACTAGACTATCATTGGCCTCTACTAGACTATCATTGGCCTCTACTAGCCTATCATTATCCTCTACACATACTAGACTATCATTGGCCTCTACTAGACTATCATTGGCCTCTACTAGACTATCATTGGCCTCTACTAGACTATCATTGGCCTCTACTAGACTATCATTGGCCTCTACTAGCCTATCATTATCCTCTACACATACTAGACTATCATTGGCCTCTACTAGACTATCATTGGCCTCTACTAGACTATCATTGGCCTCTACTAGACTATCATTGGCCTCTACTAGACTATCATTGGCCTCTACTAGACTATCATTGGCCTCTACTAGCCTATCATTATCCTCTACACATACTAGACTATCATTGGCCTCTACTAGACTATCATTGGCCTCTACTAGACTATCATTGGCCTCTACTAGACTATCATTGGCCTCTACTAGACTATCATTGGCCTCTACTAGCCTATCATTATCCTCTACACATACTAGACTATCATTGGCCTCTACTAGACTATCATTGGCCTCTACTAGACTATCATTGGCCTCTACTAGACTATCATTGGCCTCTACTAGACTATCATTGGCCTCTACTAGACTATCATTGGCCTCTACTAGACTATCATTGGCCTCTACTAGCCTATCATTATCCTCTACACATACTAGACTATCATTGGCCTCTACTAGACTATCATTGGCCTCTACTAGACTATTATTGTCCTTTACTAGACTATAATTGGCCTCTACTAGACTATAATTGGCCTCTACTCCTCTAGCATACATCTACTACTACTTATTTACTTTCTCGTATATACGAAGTATAGAGAAAGTCTTGTAATCGTGCAAAAAAAAATCGAGATTTTTACAAATCTCGACGTTTTACACCTCACTGATACGGAAAAACATAATTTTGCAATCTTGTCCGTATGTCTGTGTGTCTGTCTGTGTGTCTGTCTGTGTGTCTGTCTGTCTGTCCGTGTGTAAACACGATAACTTGAGTACCGTTACAGCTAGGTTGATGAAATTTCATATATAAGTATTTTATCAAAATCGTAGATCCGTATCAACTTGTGTGCGTTTTCCGATAACCGGAAGTGGTACTTTTCCTACTTTGAATTTTTCAAAAGCCTATAACTTGAGTACTATTTCAGATAGATAAATGAAATTTCACATGTAAGTGAAAGATCTAATTCTCTACCTTCTGTTAAATTTTGAGTAATTTCCGTTTACCGGAAGTAGTACTTTACGCTACTTCCGATTTCTCAAAAAACTAATGTAAATTTTAAAAGTACTAATAATATTGCGCACTATTATGCACTTTTTTATTTGGCGTTCACTTGGTGTGCAATTAATTTGTCTACGAGATTTTATTCTATTTTTAAAACTTTAAGTATTTAAAATGGATTAAAAATCATGTCTATAGCCCGAGGTCCCATCCCCTGTTATTTTATATAAGAATATTCGAGAAAGTTTAGGGGAGATCACTCCCGGTTTATTTTTATTACAATTATCACCGAATATTAACCAAGAAGAAAATAGGGAATTTATAATTTTAAACTAATATTAAACAACAATAGCCGCACATTACAAACCCTACTCTCTTTACAAATTATAAGCCAAACTAATACATTAAACATAACCATACCAGTTATTGTTCAATACTTATGCTATATTGAAATATTAATGCACACTGTAACAATATATAGATGTAGCAACCTAAAATAGACAAAATCTACTAATAAACACATTTAAATTCTACATTCCGGAAATATTGTACAAACTAGCACTGACATTAATCAGTGAAAAGTGTCACTAATTAAATGAATTAAATGAGTAAATAATTGAAATTAAACCAAACGAAAAGTAATATCGCTTAGAGAATTAAAAACATGATGTTCAACAGATGGCATAAGCAGTTTTTTACCTCCCCTGGAACATTCAACACATCGTGATGTGCAGCAGATCACATCAGCAGTTGTTACCTCCCCTGGAATATTCAACACATCGTGATGTGGAGCAGATCACATCAGCAGTTGTTACCTCCCCTGGAATATTCAACACATCGTGATGTGGAGCAGATCACATCAGCAGTTGTTACCTCCCCTGGAACATTCAACACATCGTGATGTGCAGCAGATCACATCAGCCGTTGTTACCTCCCCTGGAACAGTCAACACATCGTGATGTGCAGCAGATCACATCAGCAGTTGTTACCTCCCCTGGAACAGTCAACACATCGTGATGTGGAGCAGATCACATCAGCAGTTGTTACCTCCCCTGGAACATCCAGATCACATCAGCAGTTGTTACCTCCCCTGGAACATCCAGATCACATCAGCAGTTGTTACCTCCCCTGGAACATCCAGATCACATCAGCAATTGTTACCTCCCCTGGAACATTCAACACATCGTGATGTGGAGCACATCACAATTGTTACCTCCCCTGGAACATTCAACACATCATGATGTGCAGCAGATCACATCAGCAATTGTTACCTCCCCTGGAACATTCAACACATCGTGATGTGGAGCACATCAGCAGTTGTTACCTCCCCTGGAACATTCAACACATCGTGATGTGGAGCACATCACAATTGTTACCTCCCCTGGAACATTAAAAAAAACACACACCACGATGTGTGATCGGATCACGTGACGCTGACATAATTGAAGGGGAGACAAGCCAGTGTCCGAGCTTTGATTTGATTTGAGGGTGTTGATAAAACGGTAGACTCAATCTCCCCCTGTAAGCTAATGCAGTTACCTGCCCTTTGTTGATGTACACAAACCAGAGTTAACGCCCCCTTTTTTTAAAGCGCAAGGCGGACCATGCACATTTGATGATGCCGCATATCAACAAATTAATTTTACGGGATTTCCCGCTTTAAACGTGTGCAAGCGGAAATGGATCTAGACGCGGATGGGCTGTGGATAATTGAACTTAATTAATTATAGACTAGGGGTGAGGGGTACAGAGCAGATTCTCTGATAAAGTGATAGACAGCAGATAAAAGGAAGGGAAAATAGAGAGAAGATAATAGGAAAATAGACAGCAGATAGAGTTGTCACTGTAGGTAGTTTAAAAAGATTCCTGTTGTGTTTATCACGGTAACCGACCCAAGATATCTAAAAGGAATTTGGGGTGGGTGAGGAGGGGGATTAGGCTACCATTGACGATACTAGACCGGCATTTTGTAAGTGGTTATCTACATTCTATTTTTTTTAAAAATTATAACCAAAACCAAATACGCGTTTTAAAAATACCTGCCGATGAAATGAACACATACCTTTAAAACACCTGTCAATGAAATGAACACATACCTTTAAAACACCTGTCAATGAAATGAACACATACCTTTAAAACACCTGCAATAGAAATGAACACATACCTTTCAAACACCTGCCATAGAAATGAACACATACCTTTAAAACACCTGCCATAGAAATGAACACATACCTTTAAAACATCTGCCAATAAAATGAACACATACCTTTAAAACACCTGCCAATAAAATCTAATAAAATGAACACATACCTTTAAAACACCTGCCATAGAAATGAACACTCACCTACGGTTTTAAGCTTTGAGAGTCCTGCCAGCCCCTTTTGTTTGTCCTAATCTAAACATTCTACAACACGAACAAAACAAATTAGTTCTATTAATCTATATACTGTTAGAACCCTTTTTGAAGGACGTTTGAAAAAAAAAATCGACATTTCTCCTAAAATATTCAAACAATTTTCAGACGCTCATTTGTGTTTGTTTGAACTACTATCAACGCCATATTTAACAATAACAAAAAATAAACACAACTTTAGATCTATTGGGATATGGTGGCGGCGTGGTCGGGTGGTAGAGCACTTGACCGAAGGTTTCAAGTTCGAATCTAGGTTTGAACTCGTGACTGCAGGAAATACCAGAGCCCCCCCCCCCCCCACCCAGCTCTTATGGGAACCTGACTTTAGTGAAAGTAAACACCTTTCATATGCCGAATTCAAGAAACATGAACTGAACTTCATCTGCCCTCGGGATCGATAGGAACTTTACTTTTTACTCTAAGGGATTTATGAAAGTTGATGTCCCTGTTATTCATGACAAAAAAAAAAAAAAAATAACTTATTTAAATAGCACTTGTTTCATACTGGGATGGGGGGAGGGGAAAGAGGCGGCGTAGTCCACTCTGTAGATAGTTGGGTAACACAACTTTAAGGAACCAGGGGCGTAATCTAAGTGGAGACATGCACCACCACCCCCAGTGTTTCTTTAAGAAATGTTTCTCTGGGGGAGGAAGTGGGGCACTTAAAATATTTTGGGGGATGGACTACAATTTCCGGGGGGGGGGGGGGGGGTGGGTGGGGGTTGGGACGGACGAACGGACGCGGTTAAAAGTATATGTTCTTTATAAATTTCATTTCGTTCAAGGAGAGGGGGAAGGGGGGGCGGTAGACATTCTTCAAGGGGGGCCTCCTACCTCCAGAAGAGATGCCTGGAAGAAACTCTGCCCAACCCCGCCCCTACACCCCGAAATGCATAGTGCGTCAACAAAGTCCCCCCGTTTCCCCCCCCCCCCCCCTTTCCCTGTCTCTCTATCTGTTGAATTAATGGGCAATGAGGCCAATAATTGAATTGAAAAGAACGGCCATCTCTGGTCATCGCATAGGCAAAATCACCCCCTCCAGTAGCGACACAAGGCGGGAGCAGGGGGCGGGGGGCGGGGGGTCCGTTCCCCACAGTGATACCATTCAGAGGGTGACACTATTTAGAGGGATACCATTTGTGGGGGGTGGGCAATATTTCGGGGGTGACACCAAATTGGAAGATTATAAAATGTACCGTCAAAGCATGTTTTATCCAGTTAAATTTATAAAATATTAGAGAAAGAGAAAGAGAGAGAGAAAGAAAGAAATAAAGAGAGAGAGAGAGAAATAGAGGGGAGGGGTGACACCAAACCGAAAAATACTAAATTGTTCAAAGGAGTGATGTGACACCCTCAGTCACCGCACCGGGTGACACCTGACCTACTGACACCATTGCCCTTACCATTTCTTTACTTTTAAAAAACCTGTTCAACTTTTTAAAAACCCGTTCAACTTTATAAAAACAAGCAACACTAAATAACTTAGTACACTCATTTCAACACCTTTAATTTAACCGAACTTAAACTTTTCAACTTGAGCTTGATAGAAACTTGATCTTACTTCTAAAATCGATATTAATGACTCAAAAATAAAAATCGATGACGTTGCAAACAGAAACCAACCACGAACAAATCGGTCCAGCTACTCAGAACAAATGGCACTTGTTTCTAGCTAAGCTCCAAT